TCAGTCAGAAATCAACAAATTAATAGAATACAGAAAAGTAACTTTTTTATTGATGCATTGCAATTGTTCTACATTTTTACCATATTATGTAGAAAATACTTAAAATACAAGCTACTTTGTAAAACCAAAGACAAACATTGAATCCAAAGATAAACCGTGTTTTCACAATGGACCCTTTTCCCATATAGTTAGTATTAAATTTTTAAATATCTGTATTTCCTCTTGTTAAAATGATTTTTACATTATCCCCTAAGTACATTGGCAATACAAACATAGATCAATAATTGTCAGAAACTACCTTTATCTAGCGGCTTGTAAAAAGGAAGAGCACAACCAGAAAAAAGTTAAATTCTACACAGTAAACTAGCATATCAAATACATTTAATAAAGTAGGAATTCCATTGCAATATCAAGGAGTCAAGCAGAAATACTAACATTACATATAATGCACTGCTACATGTAGTGAATTAGATAATAGTTCAAGCTGAATCTGAAATCACACATTATATAAAGTTTAGCAACAAACAACTATGTCAACATGCGGCACCATTCATAAGTTAAAAATTAAAACAAGAAAGCAGGGCTGTGCCAATCCCAGTCACCTAGAAGCAATTGAATTTCATGTTTAAAAATATATTGAAATCAGAGGTATGGTACTGCACTGTTTAACTATGTGCAAGCAGTAAAGCTCAGAAGCTGCCTTTGCAGTGGAGTATCAAGAACAATGAGGTGAAAGTTCAGCTGTCAAGAATGTTAAATAATAGGTTTAATCACAAAAGTGACTAAGTAAAGCATAATTTGTCTTGCTATTACTAAAAATAAATTTACTTACAAATGAGCTCAGGTTGCAGAGAAAAGCACAGCTTACTCACAGGCAAGTCCTACAGATTTCAGAACTTGCAGAAAAATGCAGCCATAATATTATGGGGGTATTCCAATTCCCCCAGCAAAGGAGACTAAACTTTTGAAACATTGATTTTTTGTGCATAAAATAGGTGCATTTACTTGTAGGCTGCACAACTGTGAGGCTATTGCTATCTCGCCTTTCATTGTGAGGCAACCTGGAAATGCACTGGGAGAAAAAGATGCCCCTGCAGCCTAGTTCTCACAAATCGTATGAGGGATTACTTTCAAAAATACCCCCCCCCCCATTTTCAGCCAGGAAGAATCCTGAACCCAATACAGGTGCCAAAGCTGATGAAAACTTCCCGGCTATTGACTCCTGTACCTGGAGGAAAAAGTGAAGGGGGAGGGTGGTGTTCCCAAACCAAAGCAACTGGAGTTATGTCTCCTTTCCTGGGATGGTGTCCATCTGGACAAACATTCCAGGTGCACATTGAGAGATTTTAAAGAGCTTAGAGGCAGTAGTATGCTATGTGTGTAACTTGCTATCTCACCTGCTTTGTGAGAAGAAGGCCTTTTAGAGAAAACCCTTAATATACATTTGTTTGCTTCCAGTTATGAAATGTCTGGTCGCTGGAGCAAATTACTGAGGAAGTCAGAATCAAAAACTTGGGAGAACGTTTTTTGTTAATGATTCATAATTGCTTAATTCTGATTATATATAATTACACTTTAAACTTTTTTTTGTCTTAAAAAGCCAGTCCTTTTGTTCACTCAGAACTGACTTGAGGTAAAAATATGATTAACCCATTCAAGGATAAGTTGTTTTTAAGACCTGTACTTTACATTTTCCAAGCAGAATTACTGAAAATCCTTGCTGCGTTGGAAGTATTATAGTAATATTTTAATATTAATAGTAATATTTTAGTATTGATATTTTAATATTAATATGTTTAATTGGTAAAACAATCCACTTTCAGATTTTCTATAAAGGCGGATTGAGATACAGGTCATGGCACTAAGCAGAAAACTATTCTGAGAATATTACAGCAACAGAAATTGTTGTTGACACCAGTGATGTAAAGAACTGAAATTGCGTATCTTCACATCAATATAGAAGAAAAAAAAATACAACAGAACAAGAGTACAGTAAACAAATGTTCAGCTAGACACACTGTTAACCACTCTCCTCTATTGCCAGAGACAACAGATTCCTCACTAGAAAGGAAACTGTAAGGCTTGTGGTCCACAGACTATTTAGAGCTATTGGAATAAGTGGCTTTAAGACCTCTGAAATCTTGGCCTAACTGAAATCATGACTCCCCCCTCCCCAATTCCTGACTAATGGATCAGAGTTATTGCCGGTTACCATTTCAAAAATTGTTCACATTTGGACTATTATAACATGTGAACATGCATGCTCCAGAAATTGGCTTAATATACTTAGTATTATTTTTTTTTGTAAAGTACAAAATCTAGTCATTTAATGTAGATTGGGTGGAAAATAAACTGGGTTCCAAGGCTGTTAATGCCTTTTATTGCTGTAGCAATACCACTCTCCAAGACAGTTAATTCTCCATTTGGCCAAGAACAGTCTTTGCATAATGGCAGTGGTGAAAGAAACAATTGTGAAAGAATTCGGGAAACCAAATGAGATTTAGAAGCTCACCACTAGCAGGCCAGTTCATGTGTTATTTCCTTACAGCAAGTGCTACAGTTTTCAATGCTTTCCAAAAGCGCCAAATTACTAGCGGTGTTAAATAAAACTTAGATTATGTGCTTTCCAGTAAGCTCTCTTTGGTATAAAAGTTCTAATTGTAACACCAAACTAGAAATATTTTATAAGCAATTTCTGCTACACACATGGGTAACAATGTTACAGTATACCCTAAGGGAAAGAAATTGCACATGCTTAAACACCTCTGAAATACCAAATATGCTTTCCAATGCATTCCTAGCATAATACTCTTAAAGACGCATCAACAGCTAGAATAGTTAAATTTTGAGGGGGGAAAGGGTCACTCAAAATAAAATACTTAGGTCATAATCCATCTAAACTGAAGCATTTCAGACACCACACTAAGCCTTGGTTAGAAGCTGTAATTTGTACTTGATTACAAACTTGTTTGATCTGGCAAACCAAATTATTCTATCTCCAAGCATACACACCATGATCAAACCATGCCATACAATGTTTTCCCCAAGCTGGTCTATTTTAGATATGCCAATTCCCATTATCCCCCAATTAACATGACAGGCTGTTTGGCATATCTTGAAGGAATAGTCTGTTTAGAGGGTAACAGATTAGTAAACTAATGCTTTCTAGAGAAGACTACCCTACACCATGGCTTGGCTGCCATATGACTGGAAACTCAAAGAGTAGTCTGTACTTTATATTGTGGTTAACAAATGCATGGCTTGGCTTGATGTCTGAACTCACTCGGCAGTTTCAGGGGGATCAAATTGTGAACATTCTTAGCTTTCCAGCTGAAGTAAGCAAGACTAAAGAAATACTCAGCTTTGGCTGAATGATGCCCATTGTTCCATTTATGTTGGCATTGAAACTTAAAGCAAATGGTTTCGTCACCTATATCTATCCTTAGTGGGACATATTTGATGAATTGCTTCAATTTGACGGAGAGTGGAGGGCTTGCTGGTCCATCATAAGGCAAGCTCACTGTAAACTCTAGTCACACTACATAATCATTTAAGGCACTACAATATTGGGGGGGGGGGGTTACACACCAGTCACACATACCTGTGCAAAACAAATCAGAAGATATCCTTGTCTCTCATGCAGCTTTTTTTTCCCCTTTTCTCTCTTTCTCTCTCAATGCTACAGTGATGAGCTCTAGGCAATTGCATTATTTCACATACATTCCAACATGTATTAACAACTCATTTTGGTTTAAATACAAAGGAATATATCAATTTCATCCCCAGAAACATTTAAGAGTTAGACAAACACTTAAGTACAGAGTTCAAGTATAATCACTACACATTTTGATTACAAAGAGAGAACATTTGGGATTAGCAGGAAATTTTGCTTGTTGTATTTAATTCTAATCAATATGTACATATTTCATTTTCTGTAAAATATTAAAACATCACCATTACAAAACTTCTAAAATAGTTTTAAATTCAGTAATAAACATTTAAAATCTGCAATTTTGTGTCATGTTTTTGCAATTCCTACATGCATGTATTGTATACAAGTCTTAATAAGAGCGCTTTAATGTTTCCTGCCAACAAATTCCTAGGAGGAGATGCTAGCAGAAGTATAAAAAGTTTACATTTCAGTAAGTTGATGTTAAGGTGAATTTTGGATTCTTCAGCTAAATGAACCAGGCAAAGAAATACAAGATGGGCAAGAGAAAAGAATCCAGCTCTTAATGTTATTTTTAAACTGAAAGAATATAATTCTAATGGCCTAAACCTCAGATAAATCTCTCCAGAAACTGCACATCTATTCAGTTTAGTGAACCTTACAGGAAGTACTTCCCAGTGGCTTCTGCCCTGAAACAGTAATGCAATCCTAAATATGTTCAGCTAAGTGCAAGAGCTTCTGGATAATGCAGTCATTATAACATTACAGACTGTGATCTCACAACAGAAAGCAAATTCATCTTTCTGCATTTTTTTCTGGAAAAAAAATCCCTCTCATTTTCATTTTGAAAATTCACACATTAAAAATAATCTGTGATTTAAAAGAAAGCTGTATACAAAAATGCTACACTATCCTTCAACAGATATAATTAAAATCAGGGAATTGAAAAGCAATATACATATGTCTATGTACACAGATAAGAGAAGCTAAAGAGAGAGAGAAAAATAACTGCTTTTCTAGAATTCAGCTCTTGCCTTTCAAGAATATGAATTACAAAATTAAAATTAAAATACTAACTCAAGTTTATAAAACAGCCCTAGCAACCTAGAGTTAAATGTGCATTTTAGTGGCAATATGAGTTTGTGCAAGCTGCTAAAATAATTTAAACAAGTACTATTTAATTCTAATACATTTTTTAAAGAACAGCTTTTTTTAAAAAAAAAAAAGTCACCGATTTGCTTCTGATTAATATAATAGCTTTAAATAAATGGGGTTCAGGCCTTAGTTGTTTCTTTTTAAAGCATGAATAAAAATTAAATGTAAAATCTTAAATGAGAATTGATTCAAAAGATTCTACCCAGTCATCACCTATGTTTCCCCTGAACAGCAGGGCTCCACCAACAGTACCACCTGATTCTGGAGAGCATAAGCAGAATTATCAACAAGGGGTTGATTTCCCCATTATTTTCCTTGGATTCCACAGAGGTTCCTGTTGTGGAACTGTTAGAATACTGCAAAACCTACTGCAGATCCCTTCACCTCTATGATCGTTCATGACTTCAAGACAGTTTCTGCCCCCAAATTACAAGTAAGAATACTGATTAATCTTGGTAGGACTTAGTGGGTATCCAGTGTAAATTGCAGATCCTCTGGAAGCACCAATGTAGGACTGGGCAGCAAACTGATGTTGATACTGAGCAGGTGCTACGTTGGCAGAGGTTAACAAGCTGGGTCCCACACTGACTGGGACCTGGTGCACAAGAGTGCTTGGATGGGTTGTATATGCGGTATGCCTGGAGGAGCCCTGAGGGGAAAAGAGATGAGCAATTGAATTGGTGGAGCCCAAGGTGGCAGCAGTAGTAGGCGCATAGGTGTACATGTGAGGCTGGCTTGCCGTGGCTGCTGCCAAGTGAGGGTGGACTGGGCTGCTATGCTGGAATGTATACGGAGCCTGAGCAATTGTTGTTGGCAGAGGAGCAACATAGGCCTGCTGCCTGCGGGGAGCTGGATTTCCACTTCTCTCTTGAGAGGCCAATACAGTTGCTTGCTGGTTCTATAAAGTAAGGAACAGGCTTAGAAAGAAAGCATCCAGAACACTATTATACAAAAAAAATGTCTAATAGGAGGCACAGAGGGAAGCAAAACAATGTTCCCAGTACGTATCAGATGAAGAGGACTTTTTCCACCCAAAGAGAATCTACCTTCTGGAGCTTATAATATAGTAGATACTGCAACTCCCTAAACAACCTTCCAGACATCTATCTAGCTCCCTTATTCTCCTTAGTTTTAATTTTTTAGAAAAAATTAACATCTACATCTGCATAGTAAAGGAAATATTCTGTACCTTACATTTCCTTTCCTTGTATCAGAGAGCATTCTATGAAATATTCTTGGTGAGGAGGAATAGGCTGCCTCTTTGGCTTTTTGAAGGGGAGGGAGAACATTAATGTGGTTGGGAGAGGGTACCACACTTTTTTAGTTTAGTTATCTGAAAATAGCACTTTGGGTTGTGCATTGCAAAATATGAGCTTTAGCATTTGGGCTCACATCCCATTCTTTACCTTGCACTCAATTCTGGAATGAAATTTGGTTGATTACATTTATTTGTTTGTTTGCTTGCCGCCCACCTCGTTTCAAAGCAATTCTACACTGTTTCTTCAAAATTTTAGCAATGCACATAGTCATCTGGGGTGGGGGCCGGAGGGGGGACGACAATTGATTAAATGTGTGTGGCTACCTCACAACACAAACCTCTTGATGAACAAACGTGCACCCGATATTGGGACACAAATATTATTGTGTACATTGTGACACACAATGTATTACTTTTCATCATCAAGGTTTGTAGTAGATGCCAGTGGCCATACTCATGAACCCAATATGGTCAGAAATCCGGATTATTCTAATCTTGTTCCAAAAAAAGAGACATGAGGATGGCTCAATAGGTTTTCCTACATAAAGCAAAAGGCTGAATTACACGGTCCTTATGGTGCTGTCCGAATCCATAATTTATGAAGCAGAAACAGAAATCAACTACTGAATGCAAATTTAGTACTACGGCTCTTTGAAATTTCCATCATTCACAAATTCTTTTTAGTATTTTCTTTTTAACTGTGCCTTTACTATACAGCACTTCTAACTGCTACTATGTGAACACTGGAGCAGGATATAGGAGGCCAAATGATTTGACATACCTGGCTAAGGTTGAGCGGTTGTACACCATTTGTCACTACTCGATGTTGCCGATATCCAGTTGGTGTGATACAACATCCTGATGTTTGCCCACTTACAGATGCCATTGGCTTGATCTTACTCAGGCTAAAGACTCCTACAATACAAAACACCAAATTTAGTCCATAAAGAATCCTCCTCTTCAATACAGTAAAGGAAACAGGATCCAATCCAAAAGTAAATAACTCTTTAAAATCTTTAAAAGAAAAGCTGCATGAATGAAAGCCAAATCTCTTTGAGGATAAGCTATATCACGGTATTGCCAAAGGGGAAAGGCAAAATCCTGGGGAAGGTACATGCCCTCTTGAAGCAATGAGTAGACAAAGGGGTGGAGCTTTGGGAAGAAAAGAAGCACGCTTTAGGAACAGCTTTAAATCAAGGTCAGATGTTCTAGATTTCTACTAGATATACTAGACTTTGGGCATATTCTATGAACTTTTTGAAGAAACCAATCATATCACATTTTTGAACATAACATTTTAAAATTGACTTGCCCTTTTATTAGTGGATGAGATCATATTAACCCCACAGATGTGTCACCTAACTAAGATCCAGTCTATTGTCTTATTTCCTTCACATTATTGCATGCCCAAGTAATTAAAATCTGCATATTCAAAAAACACAGGTAGTCCTCAACTTATGGCCAGAATTAAACCCAAAATTTCAGCTGCTAAGCGAGATAGCTGTTAAGTGAGTTTTGCCCCATTTTACCACGTTTCTTTCCACAGCTGTTAAGCGTATCACTGCAGTTGTTAAATTAGTAACACAGTTGTTAAGAGAATCTGGCTTCCCCATTGACTTTGCTGGTCAAAAGATCGCAAAAAGTGATCACATGATCCCAGGACACTGGGACCACCATAAACATCTGAAGTTTGATCACATGACCATGGAGATGCTGCAACAGTTTTAAGTGTGAAAAATGGTCGCGAAGTCACTTTTTCAGTGCCATAGTAACTTCAGTCACTAAGCAAACTGTTGTAAGTCAAGGACTCCCTGTAATATATAAAATCCTTTCAGCATAAAACAGCTAGACCTCAATTTACTATCACAATTGAGCCCCAAATTTCTGTTGCTAAGTGAAACATTTGTTAAGTGAATTTTGCCCCATTTTATGACCTTTCTTGCCATGGTTATTAAGTGAATCACTGCAGTTGTTAAGTTAGTAACACAGTTGTTAAATGAATCTGGCTTCCCCATTGATTTTGCTTGTAAGAAGGTTGCAAAAGGTAATCACATGACCCAAAACACTGCAACCGTCATAAATATGAGTCAGTTGCCAAGTGTCCAAAGTCTGATCATGTGACTATGGAGATGTTGCAACAGTCGTAAGTGTGAACAACAGTTTTAAATCACTTTTTTCAAGTGCTGTTGAAACTTTGAATGAACACTAAATTAATTGTTGTTAAGTCAAGGTCTACCTGTATTAAAATGGCAAAACACAGCCCCAAAATATTTGCCTCATCCCAAAGTTTTCAACACTGATATAAAAAAGAAAAAAAAGAAACTTAATTGTTCCATGAAAAACTATCAAAACTATCTACCAACCTATCTCGTTGGTATCTGAATTAAGAAGGTACTTAAAAAGGAGGAGCTCTAAGGTTTGAAAATCTGTTCTTAAAATAATCTATTTTTAAGAAACTGCTTTAAAGCATTCACAGATTTTGGGGTATATTTCTAACATCTTTCCTCTTGGGAGTGATATTTAAGCACACTAAGAAGAGACTTTTACTCTCCTTATATCCTTTTCATTGCTTTATTGATTTGATTTTTAAACAACTACTATCTCGTGATTCTTGTTACATAAACAGTTTTAAAAATTGACTTGGGAAAATTATTATATTGAATTGGAAGAAACAGTAGAAGAACAGCCTGAACTGGAAGGCAGAGTTAAACATGTCATCAGTTGGGAGTCATTGCCTTGCCAAAAGAGATCCAAGTCTAGCCCCATGAAATCTGTTGACCCTTATCTAGCGCCAATCTAGCTTTGACCGTTAGTTGACTAGATTGTTGTTTATAGGTAACAATAATAAACTCTTCTGTAGTTTGAAATTGACAAATGCCCCTGGTTATTTGTGCCTGACAGAAATTTGAGTACATCTTTACTTTTCCTTTTTATATTCTTTTATATTATATAGAACTAAAGTACTGATTAGTCCAGAAAACTTAAAGTATTATTAAAGATACAGGAATGCACATATACACATACTTCTTACATATGAAGAGAAACATTTAGTTTGCAACTCATCAGGTTTGATCATTGGTACATCTGTTATTTCTTAATGGAGATTATATTTATATTAAGTTGCTGTACTCTGAACATATCCATTATAAAGAATCTTTTTGTAAAGTATTTATACTCAAACAACCTTTTCCTTATGGATAAGAGTCATCATAATTGAAATGCCCATGTACTCCTCCTGACAATTACTCTTTGGTATATTGATTATGAAAGCTTCCAACTTTATTATTATTATTAAAGCTGTGCAAACACTAACAGAAAACACACATACCTTTTTTTAGAACAAGCTCATAAAAATGGGAGGAAAAAAATCAATTCCACATTATAGATCAATGTAGTTTATAGACAATGAACCTTACCTGAGGCCTGGGTGGCTACAGTACAGTCACTAAGCTGTGTTTTCAGAGGCACAATAATGGTACGGGAGGTGGAGCTTTCAGCCGCCCCTCTACTTGGCTCCAGCGCACCACCAGAGCTCCTGAGTGTGGAAAGTACATCTGATGCATAAGGGCTATTCAGGGAAGAATCTGAATCAGGGGAATCATTAACAGTAACGTAGCTGATGACATTGGATCTCTGCTTCATGCCCAAGCTACGAGAAAATAATAACTTATTAGTTATCTTATTTATCTTAATATTACAATACTTAAAACTGCATATCCAAACTATTCAGCAATCCAAATAAGATTAAAAAGAAACAATCAGTTGCGCAATGTAGTCAACGATCTGTTTCCAAAAAAATGCTTCAAAGAACACAAGAATGTGAACTTTGCATCCAACTGCAACTCCTATATTATTCTTAATACAAAATTGTACTAAATACATTTGCATGCCATCACCTTTTCAAATGCTTTGAGTAGTATATATGAAATCTATCTTATTTCATTCCACAACTATCCTATAAGTTAGACTGACCTAACAAGGCCTGCAATTTTTTAAATGATGGAGAACAGTTTGGAGCTAGTCCAAAACTAATACTTCTAGCACAGATCATAAACTAAAGATATGAAAGGTTATAGTTGGACAACTATGAAGAATTCCCTGTGCTTCAAAAAAGATGAACTTACCCAATAGCTCTGTATAAGATGAGATTTACATTACATTAACATGTACATACATATGAATAAAGGATATTATAATCTACTGTTCAGTCTAGATCAGAATTATCAGTGCTGACACCTTCAACTCTATTCATCAATCTAGGCCATAATTATCAGTGTGGCATCTTCAACCCTATTGATTAATCTAGACCAGAATTATCAACGCAAACACCTTTAATCTTATCTAAAGATGCCAGAGACTGAGCCTTGAATCTTGCACTTGAAAAATCATATACTCAACATTGAACTATGGGCTCTTTTTCTTTTTAGCTTCATGACTCTTTCTCATTGTAATGCATTAATGAATTGAAAGAAGCTTAAATCCCTACCTTCCAGGTTTGTATTTGTTGTCTTCCTCTTCATCAGTGTCACTTCGGATGGTGATTACACTAACAGGAGGACTGGGGGTATCTGGAATAACAATGGGCTGATGCTGCTCTTGCACTGGAAGGAGAGCGTTGGAGGAGGAAGATGTTGCACGCAGAGGACTGTTTCCAATTAGAGAGTAGACTTGAGATGGAATAGCCTCCAAAGTAGATGCAGGCCTATGGGAAAGGTAAGTGTATAGTTATGATAACTTCCACCACCAAAGGCATAAACAGAGCTTATATATTTTGAATGGCTCCAAGCTTATTCCAGCTCAAGTAATCACATACAATCCAGGAGAAAAGCATGTCATTTAGATGTTAAGATTCTCATATCAGTGCTTGTTCCAGACTCTGTAATCAAATGTTTAATCTCTACTTTTCCTCAGTAATTATATATTTTTACTTAACAATAAACACCTATAGGTGCTAAATTAAGGCTAGTGCACAAGAAAGTTCTTATAACTGTTTGGGTCAGAATGTGCTTGAGCATTTAATCTGCTATAATCATAATGTTATTATACTAAAAATGTATGTATATGAAAAATATAGTCTGTCGATACCTATTCAGAATCAGGACAAATAATTTACTTACTTTGTGGCACTGTGAGATGGGTGTTTGTTCTTCTTTGCTGGTACCACGTTACTTTGCTGCTGTCTTACAACATGAGCCACTCCAACATTCAAAGGTTGGGTTGTAGCCAGAGTCACATGATTGGTCAATAAAGATGGCTGCTGCATGATAGTACTATACTGATTTCCATGTGAATGAGCACTTCTAAAGGAAAGAAAATAACACAGAGATTCTTAGTATTAGTTATGTATTCCAGAAGACAGAGCCTGTTTGTTATAATGGTTAAAGCATTAGGCTAGAAACTGGAAAACTGCGAGTTTTAATCCCACCTTAGGCACAAAGCAAATTGAGTGACTTTGGGCCAGTCATTCTCTCTCAGCCCTAGGAAGGGCAAACCAATTCTAAAAAACATTGCATTGCAGAAACTTGCCCAGGTAGGCACCAGGAGTCAATACTGACTTGAAAGCACACCTATTCACACATACACATATACTCCAGAAGACAAGAACTCTTAGAGTGCAATATCCAATCAGAATTCTGAAATGGGATGGATCTATGTTTCTTTTATCTAAATTGCAGTAGATTTTGCTCTCTGCCTCTTTGAACAGAAAATATAAGACTGTACTACAGTATTCTTTCCTTGCTGTTAAAACTTCAAACACTAACTGTACATTATTTTCCAGAAAAAAATGTAATTTAACATTTGATAGCATATCTTGAGAATGCCCAACAGATCTCTTTCCACCTTTTGTGAGCATTTACGGAAATTATCTCTATCCACACATTCTTGACAATTCAATCATATTTCTATATTCATATCTTTCTCTCATTCTCCTCTTTTCCCAAAGGGACATAAAAAGTACATACTAGTCAAAGAGAAAAGATTTTTTTTAGTTTATTACTACACATCTGAACATCTATTCTAAAAAATATAATCTGAAAACACTGCATCATTTCTATTCTTTTCTATATTATGTACTACTCATATTTCTGCTTTGTTGAAGACTCACCTCCAATCAGCCAACTGCTGGTTACTTCCAATTGATTCAGGAATCACAGCTGTAGGCTGGACAGAATTGTGCAATGCAACCCCTGGAAGTTGTTGCCAGGTAGAAGGCAAAAGTATCTGTTGGGTCCCTCCAGGCCAGGCCTGCTGCAAAACAACAAAAAGAAAAACAAAGATTTACTAAGATTAGCTGTTTAAAAAAACTAAAAAAAAAATAAGTTGTTTAAAGTAAAAGAAATGAGATATTGTTAACTTGCAGAGATAAAGACATGAAACTGAATTTCTGCAAATAATTTTACAAATGGAAATGAAAAAAATACAAATAAAAATGTTTCCTCTCACTCTGTTCATTGTATATCTCACTAGACCAACTGTATAAGAGATTTATACAGTGTTGCAGAAAATATATTTAGCACTTAAACAGCTAGGCAGAAAAGACTGGGGTGGCTTTGAAGATAATAATTCCTCAAATATAGAACTGGAGATTTGAGACTTTAGGAAAAGCAGCAAAATTTTAGGATACGTTTTGGAGATTATGCATTTGTCTTTAAAAGCTAATTCTCATACAAACATGTCCATGTGAAACTAGCCCTTTGTAAGAATATGAATATACCTTTCTCACTAACTCAATATAGTAATTTGCAGGTAGCTGCCTACAACAGCTACTGAATACACGTTTTGGTAACTACTTCTGCATGTTCACTAGTAGAAAATTGGTTGGTTCAGGACTGAAGTAGAAGGCAATATAATTTTAAAATGAAAGGTTGTGTTCAAATGTTTGGAGAACAACTTTTTTTGGCTCATTCATTATTTCGAAGTTCAAAAAATTGAAAGTAATTTAAACTAGATTTTATGTGGTTCCTCCACATGGAATCAGGAGTAATTGGTAATGTTTTCTTCCCTTTCAAAAACAAATAACTTTAGGAAAATTACAAGCTTTATATATAGCCAAATTTGCATAAATCAGATGAAATCCACAAATTTAGGATCACTGACCTTGAAAGAGATGGTTACCGTTGAGCCATTAAGATAAGAAGAATGAAATTGCTGGCCCATCTGCAGTCTTAAATATTTTAAGTACACATTATATAACTGTAAAGACTCTGAATGATAAAGGAAGTACTATAACAATTTCTCACTGGACAGGAGCTCAGACTTGTGTAACCAAACAGCTCTTCCTGCTTTGGCAGATTAAGCACATTCTTTTTGTAACTATTATTAAGCAAAGTATTTATTTTTTGTAATTCTACAGGAGTGAAGTTGGAGAATATAGATAACTCTTCCTCTCCAGGGCATGAAGTACTATGTATCCCAGCACATCAGTTTTTAACAAAAGAAGGACTTCTTCTGTGTCCACTGTTGCTTTATGTAGAACATATAACTCCTATGGATGATCAAACACTTCTTGTATTTGCTTTCAGATCCTTCCTTAGTTATAAAAAAATCTGTTTACAGTGTGAATTGCTTACAATGGATTTATTAATCCATCCAAGAAGCGTGTTTTCTCTTTGCCAAAACCTATCTATAAAAAAAAAGTTCTGCAATAAAATACTTCCAGAATCCAATTCTTATAATCACATCCCACACAGTTCAAACTGCAATACAGTTTGAAAACATTATACATGAAATTTCAAATGACATATTTCTGCAAGTAACAAATTCTCTTATTCCAAACACTGGTTCCAAACAAGCAGCTTTCAAGCAGAGAACTGCTAACCCCTCTGCCAACATAAGCGGAATAATAATAAAAAAAAGAGAATAATGTTAAGTCACACCATGCCTCTTTCCAAAAGCCAACACCTGCACAAGACAAAGCAGAGAGTTTAATACAGTGCGAGATCTAATGTCCCCACCAGAAGGCAGAAATCGGGCTTTCCAAGCGACGAACTGTTTTGACAGAGGAGGGACAAAAATATGCAAAGCTTAGCAAATGGCTAACGTAAACTTAGATGAAGCGGCGAAAGGGAGAAGTGTTGAAAGCACTAAAGGTGAGCATTTCAGGCAAAAGCCTTGAAGCCAAAAATCCATGGAGAGAAAGGTAGGATTCAGATAAGATTAAGTGGATTTAGTCTAGAAGATATGTTTTGTATCATCGTATCACAGAAGCACAGCAATTAGTATTCCAAGCAGAAGTGCAAAAAACATTTCAAGCTCAAAACATTTCAATCCTGTTTCAAGTTCAAACATAATGCTTCCACTTTTCAGTGTTCCCACACTGTTCTGACCATTCCATAAATATTTGAGTTCAAAACAGCTCCAATCTAAAAAAATGATTCCAGACTGGTCGAAACAAAGTTGGAGCATTTTTACTAAGGTTGTTGCATTTCATTTGAACCCCAAACAATTGTTTCAAGCTGGAAATGTTTCAGTTCTGAATGTTTTGCAGATTCTAATTCCACATGTGTCATCTAGAGATTTATTAAAATCCAGTTTTTAATCCTTAAAAGCTGCAAATTGTTTGAAAACAAAGGCTATGTCTTGAGAAATCTCAAAAGGTAAGAGGGGATACAAGTAGAAAAGAAGTTCAAATGGCCTGTGTCTTCCATAGTTGTTTTCCCTTTCCTATGAGACAATAGGTCTTAATCTGTATTTACACTAGTTTCAGATTTTAATTTTCCATTCCAATGCACAGAGGATATAGCATTCTGATCTCAGTCTCCTAGCAGTAGATCCAAAGAGGGACAGTTTAGCCTATTGGTTGAAAAATCCAAAGTAGTTTTCTGATAATAAATAATCAAAGATTTAAGTTCTATTAGATGTATTCCAAATGTTTCAATTATGAAATTATATTGAAGAATGCAAGTCAGAATGGAGAACTACAAAATCTGTAGTGATCTTTTCAACACATGCAGTTATAATTGGTTTTTTAAAAAATCTATCTTGTCTACCCATGTGGCATTCCTTGGAATAACAGTAGCAATGTCAGAGGGAGCAATTACTCATCTTGGTGAGACTAAAGCCAACAATGCCCCTTTTCTCTCCACTGGAAGAGAAAGATGCTCGCGAGTTATCACTTTAAAGTAACAGAAGAAGACAATGAGTATGCAACAAATAGAAGTGTGCTTGGCAAGACACGTGAGGACATCACCATTTCAAGTGCACTGCAATGTTTCCATGTTTTTCACTGATCTGATTCTGGGGTTTCTAATTGATTGTTTTATGGGATCTATAAAACATGAATTCCAATCAGAGAAATCCAGAATGAGAAAGAAAAATTTGGGAAGTGTGCGCAGTGGTTTTTTTTTAACCTAGAGAATTAAAGAACTACCCTATGATATAGCTTAGATAGGAAGAGCTCACCTTTAATCTCAACCAAGAAATGTAAAAGGAACTAAAAGCACGGATGGGTTGCAGCATCTATTTAAGGATGATGCACACTGGTCAGGGGTAATGAAAGGCCAGAGAGATTTGGGTTGCTAACTGTTTGATATAAGTTAATAAATCTGGGTTGTTAACGCCATAAATCAATAAAGGATTTAATGATATTAGAGATTTTCTGTGCTTAACAAATCTGTATGTGCAAAGAAACTAAAAACAAAAAACCTAAATTTGTCAAGAAATGGCTACCCAGGTATTAATGACTGAATCAATCTAAGGACCATTACTATTGTTTTGAATCAGCAAAATAAAAAGAGATAAAGAGTATAGAAAAAAAGAAGTACATTACTGCTCTTTCCAAACTAGGAGAAGAGCTTGATCAGCAATCTAACTAGTAAAGAACAACAGTCAATGAATCTGGATTCTTTACAGAGCAACACTAAACATCAGAGTCAGACAGTGCTTCAGCAATGTTGGGGAGGAAAAACAACAAGACATTAAGATGTAGCAAGAACACAGCCACAAGATGGCACATGCTTCCATGCCCTCTGCAAGTCTAAGTTAAAACAAAAACTCCGTTAGTGAACACAATCAAGGGAGGCAATTACCAGTACTGCAGCCGTCTGTTCTACTAGCGCTGGCCGGCCGGCTGCGCAGTTCAGAGTAAAGGGTACCGCATACTGCGGCGTGATGGTGGCTACTTGAGGATGAAGAGTTGCTACCATTAGTGGTGTACAGCTTCCCTGAAATGTAGATTAGGCAGTGAGTGAAACAAATGTACTAAGGTAACAGGGCCAGAAAGGCTTCCCCCAAGGATACAAAGGGCGCTTTTGAGTGACTTGCAGAATTCATAGGTATCCACTGAAAATCAATATGCTTTTCTGCCAACTTGTATGCACTGATAATAAGTATTTCTTCATATCCAAGAACAAGCCTTTTGTGTTTAGTGCACTTAAAACAAAAATTAATCATGGGTGGTATAAAACACAGTGCAGGGAAGGCTTGGAAACAGAAATAATTCCTAAAATGGCTTACCAAAAGCATTCAATTGTTAAACCAGCATTTTGTGTTTGATATAAAAATTCCTATTGATTTTCTCTTAAAAATAGAGCAATTCAATTGCTCTGTCGGTATAATTATATTTCACCACAAAAATCTTAAAACTTAGAAAAGAAGAAAAAATGTGTTGTATTCATATTGAATACAAATGGGATTTGTATTATGCTAGCCTAAGTGCTTCCAAATGCCTTCTGCAATACAAATAAAAAAGGATAAGTTACTGTCTTTTAAGTTATTCATGCCTCACCTAAACGGAGTTTACAATAATGTAACCAAAGCTGCATTGCAAAGATAATACAATTAAGTTAACAAGTAATGTATGTAACTTATTTCAACCTTCTGTTCTGGAACAAACATCCCATTATAACAATGAACATATAATAAAAAAGGCTTCTGAGAGCAGAAACTCCTTTGTTTTTTATAGCAGAACAGAAAACTGATATTATTAAAGTAGTAAGTCTAAATCTTTGCTATTATGTGTAACCTGTCATTTTCTCAGTATCAAGAAATAGAACAAATACAATAAGCATTCATAAAGTGAATGGTAAAATTGATGGGAAAGAGTAATTTAATTGAACCAATAATGATAAATAAGATCTTTTTCGCCTTCTACTATATTAATTGTAATTTTAGGGGAAGCAATTAAAATCAATTAAAATTTAACTTTTTCCAGAATAACAGCTGCTAATATATTCAGTTTTAGGCACAATGGTAGATCTGTACCTGTAAATGAAAGTTGCCTAAAATTTTGGTCTTGGACAATAAGTCTATTTGCAAAGGCCAAACCTTTAAAGCAAAGAAATCATTAAACAAAGAAATATTTTATTATCTTTTTCTCAATATACTAATAATTTTTAAAAGACTTAGGAATTTCTGGTTCTCAGTTTCAATTGAGAATACACCACATATATTATCCAAACATATCCATGACACTTTGTTTTACTCGCTTTTACCTGTGTGAGAACTCCGGACTGGATCTGCAGTGGCTGAGCTGCTGGCGCTTGTGGCACAATTGGAACAGCATTGTCCATCCTTACAGGGAACCCAGAATGCTTTGTGGTTGCCTGAAGACCAGCTGGATGGAATAAGATCGCAAATAACTACCTAAATATGTTTCAGAGCTTACTTTCCAAAGATGATGCATAAAAAAGATGCAGGTTATGGTCATAATTATCAGTACTGAGAAAGGTTCAACCACCCCAGAAGCTAGTAATCCATGACATGTTTTCCAGGCAGCCAGTATGCCACAGGGTCAAAAAAGTTGGGGATACTGTTTGTAAGACAGTTATGAAATAGTCAAGAACATACTTTTTGAAATAGCCATTAAGTGAACTATGCTGCTTTCTTCTATAATGAAATGTATATCGTATCTACCATAACATACTTAAGATACTAGTTTATATATTACAAAATCCAACTTTGGCCTAGAAGCCCCAAAATCAACTTGGGTTGCCTGGACATTTCTTTCCACATAGATTTGTTTTTATTTCAAAATGTAAGAAAATGTAGGTTTTAATGCATAAAGAGACAGCACTTTTTTCTATCTTTTTTTAAACCTTATTAAAAATTATAGTTTCATGGATATTCATAAATAGTATGTCAGGATAAAAACCACACTTACTTGGAAAGGCAGGAGGACATACAATGAATGTTTGTTGAAATGGGTCTGTTTGAGTGCAAATTTGGGTTGTTCCAGGCTGTAAGGAAACACTCTGTTGGGCCACACCAGCAACTGGTGCTGCAGAGGATGGATAGAGAGCAGACTGATAATTCAACAGCGAAACATCTGAATTTGCTAGAGAAAGAGTAGCTGCTGCTGTAGAATTGGAAGCCAAAACACTAGCCTGAAAAACAAGACAAACTATCATTAGAACTAGAAACTAATATTCTAACATATATATTAAACAACTAAAAACAAGATGAAAAGCATCTGCAGATTCCCTCATCCTGAAGGGGATCTAGAACTCATAGGCACTCATGATAGATTTTTGGAGCAAATGCTATGGCCTACCAAATACTGGGCTGATTTCAAATGAAATTCACTGAAGCTACTGTACTAAAAACAAGTCAATTACTAGGAAGAATCATTCCAGAAAATGATAAAGTTTATTTTGATTTTTTCATCAAAAGAAACAAAAAGGAACTGATTACCTGATGATGCACAGTACTCAGCTGGTTGTTGAAACTCATGGTGAGGTTTGTGCTTGTATTTGGTGCAACATGTGTCGTGAATGGGCTTTTTATTTGATTAACAGTGTCATACATATTAACTCTTCGTTTACAAATTTCCATGTTCTGAAAACAGGATTTCACACTGAAAAAGAATATGAAGCAATTTAGCTAACACCATACAGACTATGTCTGATTATTAAAAATAAATTGCCTGTGAATTAATAGTTATCAAAACCTTTTAAGTTGCTTGGGCTCTTTCTGAAATCTAATTTGATACATGCCATATAACTAACTATAACTGCTACTCTTCTCCATCACAATCCACAGTACACACAATACGAAATATTCCCTATTCCAAAATATACTCATATAGCAAAATATTTCTAGCAAATTATATATTACTACCAGGTTTCTCTCTTTTGTATTAGCGACATACAACTTACCTATCTATGAGAAATCAATAGATGGCAGTGGAAAGCCAAAATTTTAAAAGGAAGTAACTTGCTCAACTATTATAACAAGATTTCTAGAAGTCTCTGAATAACATCATAGTAAAACTACTGTTTAGGAAACACTTTATAAAGTTATCCAAAGATAACTTTGTTACTGGTCCAAAAACATGAAGAAGCAGGTTACAAATCTGAATGAACTAATGTTATCATTTATCTGGGCCACAGACTCACTGGTTGCTATGTGGAAAATCCAGTAGATGATTCATTGTCACAAATGGATGGTTCAAAGTCTTCAGCGGAGTAATTCTCTTATCTGCATCAATTGTCAACATTTTCTTCAACAAATCTATATATTCTCTTCGGTCAGCCTTCTCTGCCAACATATCTGTTCCCTCCAAATCTGTAGACATATTTACCTTGTGGAAAAGTTTTTAAAATTGTTTAGATTTTTTGTTCAACTTATACACGTTAAAGCAGGAAAAATAGAGGATACATGAATCTTTTAAATTCCCGAGGAATGTAGTTCTACTTTATTCTCATTTTCTCTTGCTTTGCTTCTAACAAATATTTAACTTAAAAGAAAAATTACCCTTTCATTTAAAGGGTATGTTTAAGACAGGTCTACCAGATATTAAGTGGTTTTCCTAAAAACATTTACTTATAATTGTTAAATTACTGAGAATTATCCTCAGGTATACTAGGGATACCAGTTGAATAGCTCCATGGGGGATAATAGAAAGGGAACATAATTAGCTTCTATGTAAAGCAACTGTAAATTAGTAGCTCCTTGGATTATAATACCTGTACTTTTCAAAGGCAATATTATTTTTTATTGGTAGCTTACTTGTGCCATATCGTCCAAACAATTAAAAATATATTTCCGAGCTTCCTTTGATTTTATTCCTGTCTCCAACTCATGTTCTTCTGGAGTCTGTCAAATAAAATGGAAGTTACAAGGAATTATATCAAGATTTAATATGTTAGTACAATGAAACCAAAAGTAGGTCAGCCTGCAATACTGCAGGTTTCAGAGAATTTCTGAAGAGCTGAGATCTAAAACAGTGCTTTAAATCAGAAAAATAGCTTTATAATCAGGGCAGAAATAACTAGCAAATACAATGTGTGTTTATAGAAAATGGACAAAACACATTGGAATTTGACAGTTTTTTTCAAGACCAATTTAGATTGCCTTAAATCTTACAGAAACTATTTTACTGATAATTTTTTCATTGCATTTACAAACATGTTTTCTACAGACATGTCTGTTGTAAAAACAAGTCCAATTCAAAACACTCTTCTGCATCAACTATGCACAACAGTAATTAAAATATTTTTTTATTTATTGGACTTATTTTATTGGACAAATCTACTGTAGGAGCATTTTCTTAGAGACAGTTTGCAGAATCTCACTGTGGCAAGGTAGGGGAAAACCTAGCCCAGGGGTAGGCAACCTTGGCTGGCTCAGGAATTCTGGGAGTTGAAGTCCACGAGTCATAAAAGAGCCAAGGTTTAGCCTATCTTTTTTTTCAGCCTCTGTTATCACTCACCATTTTTACACCAATGGTTTCCTGTTTTTAGTACATAAAGCATCCAGTTTTGGAGGGATACTTTATAGCTAATGGCCAGATTTATATTCACATAATTTGTTGGACAAACTACAGTAGCTCACATTTATGACTAATCCACTAACCATAAGGATAGGTTTATACATAATCCTAAGTCAAAATCAAATCACATTATAGTATACTATATGTGCGGTCAGTCACTATTTAGGTTTCCTTTACTTAATGGGTTTGCAGTTATGCACTCCACCCAGTTATTAGCAAATTAATAAATATTCTACTCCTGATGTTCAGATGCTTATGTTTCCCTGGACAAAATGCTACTAAATGCAATATCGATTACTACTAGTTTACTTATTAGTTTACATTTATTGCTTTTAATTTAGTAACTTAGTTACTAGTTTTAAAATAGAAATGAAACAATGAAAAGCAAATAATTAGCTAAGATATGTCTTAAAAGTAAGTGGTAATATCAGAAAACAAGCCTTCTAAAGAAAAAAAGAAAAGAAAAAGAAAAAAACCTTTAGTCTCCACAAAGGGTATCCCAAGTTTGGATCTCTGTTAAAAAACCTGCTTGTTTTCGTTCCCGCACTCAAAAGATACTCTGCTGGTAGTCCTTGTGTTTGTGAAATGTAACGAATCTGCAACAGAAAAATAATATTGATGTCAACAAAGAACTATTAATGTTAACATATAATAATAGTAATTTTATTTTTATATCATTATTCCATACAAAGGAGTACAAAGTGGTATATAGAAGAATAAAAGCAAGCACAAAATGTTACAAAAGAAGTTGTTTAGTCCTAGGCAGCTAGTATTCTAAAAATGCTTTTTCTGGGAAAGTTTTACTCTCCTCGGCAGAATTGCATAATTGGGTTACCTCTATGAAGAAAAACTTTTGGCTTCTGCTGTGAACCAAACCTTTCGATGGGACCATGAATAGACTCTTCCAGCTGTTCTTAATACATGAACTATATGGAACACAATACCATTTTGTGTTCAATGATAATAGTTTTCCTTAAAAAACTATTCAACTTATGTTATTTTTTCTGCAATTTCAATTTGCCAATTCATTAATATATGACTGAGATTTTTTCTTGCCTTTAAAAAGCACTCTATTTTGAGGTACTGAAGATGTCATGTTCATAAGATATTCACATTAAGGTTAGTGTTCCATGCTGTTTTAACATCTGAAAGTCATCCTGGAGTCATTCTTTTTGATATTCATTCAATACAGTGAGTTTTAGAATTAAATACATTAAGTTTTACCAGGAAATTACCCAAATTATTCCTCATTTTCTTTTATAGATATTACTATTAACCTTTTCCACTGGAAAAGTTAAATGTTGAAGACATTATTTCTATTACTAGGCCTTCTCAAAATAATATTAGCAGGCCACATATGGCCAACCTAGTCTTTTGTGGTCCAGCAGAATTTTTTTGAAAACTTCATAAACCCACTGCTGCCAAACACTGTTGTCACCAGAAAGGATGTGCTACCACTTAGGGTTTTATTTGCTGCTCCAAAAGACATGCTGTGGAATCCTCCAATAACTCTGGATCTCAACAGCACTTCCAGCTACAGTTTTGCTGGTATGGCTGACTGGTGCACCAGCTATTTCTCTGTGGGCCATAATTATAAAGATATCAATGTGGCCCTTTCCCTTCCACAAATTGCGCAGGCCTGTTTTATACCAATTTATTATAACTTTAGACTTCTTCACTTATGATATTTTACCAATAAAATGCCTGTGGAAGGGGAAAAGTATATCCTTGTTTGTACATATAGCAATGGAAGTAAAATATATCAAGCAGATTTCAGACTAATTGAGAATAGCTGTAAATAACAGAAAATATTTACATGTACACCATCTACATCTAAAAAGAAATAAGGTGCAAATAGATATAGATAGTCCAACAGTTATGACAGCAATTGGGACCAGGAACTTTATCACTAAGCAATGTGATCATAAAACACAATAGCAAGTAACCACATTACTTGGCAACAGCAATTCTGGCAGTCCCAGAATTGTCATAGTTAAATGAGGACCATGTAGGTCATTAAGCAAGGACCTAATGTGATCACATGTTGATTTCCTACTGGCTTCCTCATTGACGTAGCTTGTGGAAAGCTAGAATGGAACACTGGAAATTGGGATCACATGGCTATGGTTCATTGCAATGATCACAGGGACACTGCAAATGGCCAGAACTCTAAGGACTCATCGTAAGTCACCTTGTTCAGCACCAATTTTGAACAGTCACTGAACAAAAGGTTGTAACTTGAGGACTACCTGTGCATGTGAAAGTGTGGTTAAAAGAAGACTGGTATCTAACCAATGTTATGATGAGGAAAGGCCTTCCTTTTTTAGTGAATTTTTGGAGTGTAAATATTCACTTGAACATATAGCACTATTGAGAGGAAGAGGAGTTAATTAGATTGCTCACAGCAAGGAGAACAACAACACAAAGATCCTGACTGCCCCAAAGCAAACGTGACTTGATGAAATCATGTATATATAGTTATACCCACACAAAGCATACTTTGCATATAGTTATGCTCGCACAGAGATAGTTGGCAATAATCTTTCTTGGCAGAGAATGGAGCAGGCAACTGTACTGTATAGCCACAAGCACAAAATACTGTAACCCTGTAAGTGCTGGTGTGTAGTTCTTTGTATTTTTCTTATAACATAGGACCATGAAATAGGATGGGGAAGGATAAAATGAACAGATATTTACATAATGTCTTATATGATTATATTTTGTCTCAAAATAAGAAGTTATATGCAGCAATCTGAGAAGAATGGGCACTTATTGATTAACCCCAATCAATTGCTCTCAGATCAAAAGTCCAGTGCCAATGACTTAAGTGGCTTTCATTTAACCCATGTACAAATATCAATATTTACTCAAAAGCAAATCCTATTGGATTCAACGAAACTTATTGCCTAGCATAGTAGTTTAAAGTTGGTATTGTTTGAATATCAGCATACCAGCAAAGACTTACTTGATCATATTCTGAAGCTCCTGGATACAAAGGCCACCCAAGAAACAACTCAGCTATCACACATCCCAGTGACCACATATCAATAGCTTCACAAAATGGCAAACCCAAGATGATTTCAGGAGCTCTACAAAATATGCAATATTTTATTTATTATTTAGAATTCACTAACGAATTCACAAATCCCACTGACTTGAATGACAATTAAAAGGTTGTAAATTATTACATGTATAGTCAGAAGAGTTTTCCATAGTAAACCATTATTTTTTCCAAGAAAAATTCATAAAAGTTCTGACAAAAATAGCAAATTTATCCTGTAACCTTTAAAACTACAAAAGACATTATGACACCCTGTAAGATATATAACTTCTAATAAACTAAGTTCTGACCAATCAGGAGTTCCAATATTTTTAACTTTTAACCTTTACATTGATACAAAAATTTGGGATACAAAAGATTAATAGCTGAGATTTGACAAAACTGATACTGTTATTTACAAACCCTTATTTTCTTATTTAGGTAGGAATACTGATGCACATAATTTCTATACCACTAGCAGCAATTTTGCATTCAAGGATATTCCATTACAGTCATCTGACATACATATATTTAGATGCATATAACACTGTGATTGTGGATTACATCTTGTTAAATTGGAAGAGACAATTTCTAGCAAAATTAGCCTATGCCTGTAAAGTGATATATGCCCCCTTCAAAGTATATCCCACTGACTTAATTTGGAATTACTTCTGAAAATAGTAGTAACAGTAACCTTACTTTTTATGCACTTATAACTAGGAGCAACACAAAATGATAAAATGAATTAGCAACATTTTCTACCAATAAAGAGAAAAGTGCAAATATGGGTTGTAGTTAAGCACCAGATCCAACTTCTCTCCACAATTCCATTATTTCTCTATCCAGTTTCTATATACTCTCATCCTCTTTCAAGAGACCATAACCACTGATTTTCGCTTCATTTATATCTTATCTCAGCTGCTTCTTTCCCTCAGTCTTATGTTATTAGTCCAGCTATTTCACCGACCAGAGGATGATACAATCCCTAAACTTTTCACTTATTTTAAATAAGGAAGAAAACTTTTTATAGACAAATTATAGGAGAGACTGAAAGTTTTCTTCTTCTTCTTCTTTTTTGCTTCACTAGCGCTTTTAGATCAGGATTGGCCAATTCAAGATTCACCTTAGTACAGTATATTGGTTTAGAAAGTGTGATAATGAGAACTGATAAATTTGCAAAGGTGGAAAACATTGGTGAGAATTTTAGAACATTTTTCATATGCAAAATATAATCTATTTTACAATTTTAAGAGTACATTTCATTTTCAGACATGCATAAATAAAAATTGAAGAACAGAGATTTTCTAAGTCATACAATGGCTCTCTTGATGTAAACTACTCACCCATGATTAACTTAACATTTTTCTCAATTAGCCTAATTTAAACTGACAAGTATTAACATAGTAGGCTAAAATGTAGCTGTCTATTTTGTGTTTCACGGTACCATGTGAATATGGTTTTATATTGTACACTTTTTTCTGGTATATCCATATGGACAAATCCAGGCAAAAAGCAGATATCTAGTAGAGGAGTCCTTCCTAGCTCTACCATATCTTAACAGAATTGTTGCTCAATGTACACAGAGGGAGCAACAAAACCTAATAATTTCAGCTTCACGGGAAGAATGGTGTATCCTGCTCTTTCTTTTTGCCTCTTTAATTTAATAATCATGCAAAATGTTTTAAAACAATACATATTACAAACACAGGATGATGATACAATCCAAAGAAAGTAGCAATAAAACGTTTGATGGTACAGCACCCAATCCATAATGCTAACAAAAAAATAGCAGTCAAGTTTAATTTGACCTTTCAAACTATAGGAGAAAAACTGAATTCCTTTCATTCTTGTCTTGGTAACTACCGTAGCTGCAGTTTATTACATCCATGTCCTTAAATGAGGGATAAAGAATGTTTACATATTGACTTCCGGTTCCGGTTCGCGGCATCTCTAGTCGCACGGGGAGACTCGTCTCCTCGTCAGCTAGCTTTCCCTCCGCCGGTAGACCCTTATGTGGGTCGAAAGTCGCCCTGGAGGGTGCGACTTCTGTTGAGGAGGCTTTGCTCGGCTGCGGACGAGTGGCGGCTCCTCCAGCTGTCCGAGCTATCTCTGAGGGTCACCGGAGAAGATCGGCCAGTAAAATGGCCGATCACCCTGCCGCTTCAAACCGCAAGTCAAAGAACATCTAAGCTGTAAGAACCCCCGTGGTGAATCCGGGTGAGACTTTTCCTTGCTACTCTCCCTATTCTATTTTGTTTTTTGTACCTGTAAGAGCCTTGTTGGAATTATTTCCCTGGCTTGAGAAAGCAGCTTCTACATGTTTGGGAAGAAAGGTGTTCTATAAAAATAGAACAAAATTTTAAAGACTATATTTTATTTTCATATTTTTGGGGGTACAGAAAATTTTTTTCTCTCTTTTTCTAAGAACTGTACTATCATCTTATGCTGGAAGATTATTTCTTTTTTCACATTATACTTTAAAAGATAGAAAAAAGGAAATGGTGTCTGGAAAAGATCTTTTTTTAACTTACTGAGGACATCTAGTGGCGAAAACCTAATACTGCAATTTCTGGTTACTTTTTGGAGATAGATCAGACCTGACCTTCAAATTATTTTTGAAGAAAAAAGATAAGCTGTGAAGCTGTGGGAATTGTGAGGGTGGATATTGCCTAATTTTTATCAAATATAGCCTCCACAAAAAAGAAAAAAGAGATTCTCTTTAATCACTATCAAAATGGAGAAACCTCAGTTACAATTAAACTGTAAACTTATATTGGAAAAGATTTATGAGGCTACTGCAGAAATATGTGCTACAATGAAAGAGTTTACTACAGAATTAAGATCCAGAAATCTCACTTCAAACATTCAAATGGATGTCCAGACTACATCTTACTATTTTATAAATCAAAACATACTAGAAGAGGAATCAACAGAGATAAAAGAGGAACTTATTCTACCTTATAAACTTTTCATCTGTAATTTTGAGGAACAGAAGAAGCAAAGACTGAGATTTGAAACTACAAAGCAACGATGTTTTAAGGAGGAGAGAAATAGATGCCTAATGGAGAGGTTGGGATTCCTATTCTTTCAAAAGCCACTGCAAGCAACAAAAATAGATCTACTGGCTGAAAGGGAAGCGTGCTTATGGAAACCTGCCTGGCACAGAAAAAAAGCCAGAATTAGACTGAAAAGATGGTTTCAATAATTAATGGAGTGTTTTAAATTAGTAAGATGACCTTTCTGTATGACAACATAGACGTGATAAGGCATGATAATCAATTGGATGAAATTTGAATTTTGTTCAATGAATTCAAATGAATTAAGGTTTAACATTATTTTGTTATTCTAAAGAGATTGATTGACTGTGGGATTATATATGTATAGGGTAGATTAATATTTTATTTTTATTAGGATATCTATTATGTAGTGGAAGAAGAAATAAATGAGATTGGTGATAAAATGAGGGATGTGAGAGATTAATAATTAGAATATATCTGGAAGGGATACCTGAATTGATAACTTGTTGATTTAAAGTTAAATTTGTTTATGGTAATTGTAACTGATAAAGTTATAAAACAGGTTTAGTAGTAATAGAAATTAAAATTAGAAATGGAATATTTTAAACGTATTATGTTATTTGAGGGAAATAGAGAGGGGACAGTGAATGTATTGAGTTGAGTTGTTTATATATGTTTTTACTTTTGAATGTTTGATTACTCAAACACCACGGTGGGTCCTGAGTACCCTTTTTTAAGAATTTAAAAAACCAATAAAATGTGTTTTTTAAAAAAAGAATGTTTATATTAAAGGGTTTTACAAAGCCTATAGCCAGTAAGTATTTAAAAAAAGAAATTTGTACAGGCAGCTTTGGAATTTTAGCAAGAAGGGAAATCTACAAGATTCTACATTCGTTTAAGTTATTCTGCATAGGAATATTGCCTGCAACTAAATTTTTTCAATACAAAAAAGTAATATTTTAATGCAATACATAAATAATTTTTCTTTTAAATAAAGGCTTGAAATAGAGATCCTATAATGAACATTTAGCCTTTTTTCTAAAACCATAATCAGCAAAAGTTATATCCTCCAAATAATATTATAGTTTTTATAATTCCTTAGCTTGTGTCCGTGTTTTTGTTGCTAATGGAAGCATATAAGGGACACTAAGACGCTTATTCCAATATTAAAAAAGACTTTCTATCAGGGTAGATAATAATTGATTTTTTTTAAAAAATCAAAAAAATCTGATTTTTTAAAATTTAAAGCGGATTTTTTTAATTTTTATCAAATTTATTTTAATAAAATACTTTTGGAATAAAAAATCTATCTAAAGATAGTTTTCTATTTAAGATACATTAATAATTTAGTTTATTCAGCATGAAATGGAGCTTAGTTATGTAGCATGAGACTATATATTCTGCAATATTTTCATTTTTGGTAAACTTATTCAATGAATCCAAGCTCTACAAACTGAGATAACATGCACTGCATTGATGCATTCACGCAATTTCACAGTAAATATGAGATAAATCATAAAACAAAGTTCAGGAATATTCCTTTATCCCATTGTTTCGCAAATCTATGTACGTTACAAACTATATGATTGTTTGAAGAGAAAAGCATGTGTACCAGGTTCTAAGTGCTTTAATTAAATAAAAGAATTTGAGTAGTTTTCCAACTATGTGCGATTAACCTATTAACCTAAAATCGGTTCTGATATCGCTGTTTTACTAACTTGACAACTTATTATTCTAAATAGGAAACCTTCATTTTGTTTGCAAATAATATTATTAAAGATTGTAACTACCAGCAAGAATGAGTCCTTACATTTAAAGAGCACTTGTCATTTCAGATCCATCATGGCAGCGCCTGTTAGAAGGCATCCACTCACCTGCTGCCCGCCACGTCCCTCACCTTGGTGCAGGGGTGTCAAACTCAATTTCATTGAGGGCCGCATCAGCATTGCGGTTGTCCTCAGGGGGGCAAGTAGGTGTGGCCAGGGTGGGCATGGCCTGCTGGGTGGGCGTGGCTGGAGTAGGTGTGGCCTGC